ATAAAACATCATCATTAAAGGAAGAGAATTACTATAAACTATGAATTGAAGAAAGTAGTAAAGTGATTAATACATTTAAAAATGGGACAAAGTTAAAGAAAAGCGATGCTTGATTTACTACATCACAACATTTAAGGTGAAAGAACATCGTCGCAAAAAATACTTAAGGAATGAAACTTGAAACCAGTTAAACTTAGAAAAGCTCAAAAATTAACAACAGCAAACAAAGAATGACGTGTTGCATGTGCAAAAAGGTTAATTAGAAAATCTGGTGCAAGAAAAACTGATTCAATTTGGCAAAGGAATAACATTGTTAATAATGATTTTTCAGGAATATTTACAATTGAAAGCTTCCACACTAATAAAAATGATGTAATTTCTGCTGAAGATCCATCTGAAATCCGTGCTAATCTAAGAGAAGCACCAATGAAAAAATATCCAAGTAGTGTAATGTTTTGGGGTGGAATTTGCACGAAAGGTTTGATACCTCACGATAGTCCTATTAATTTTATTCAATGGTTATGAGATCAACATTGAAATGATTAATGCAAAAGAGTGTACATGGCGACTGAATTTTATGCCAAATTTTTACGTGAAAAAGCCATTCCGGCAATTAATGAAGCAGTAGAAAATTTGGATGAAGTTATTATTCAAGATGATCAAGAGTCAAAACACAAAATGCAAGTAACTATGGGTGTTGTTTATGATCTTTTTGAAGGAAGAATCGAAGCCGATGATGGAGACGCCAAATTTGCAGATGTGTGGCCTACTGAAAATATCTGGGAAATTAGGAAGCAAAAAATAAGAGGAAAAACATTTAAAAATTTTGATTCATTAGTTAATTTTGTTAATTTGGGATGGCAGAAAATTACACTTGAACAATGTGAAGCAATGATAGATAATATACCTAAACGTGTTGCAAAGATGGTACAATTGAATGGGAATCAAGTTTATGAATATTAATTTACAATAATTTTGACTTCAACATTCATGGTGAGGAAACTTTATATTATTACAACAACACTTTTTAGATAAAATAAACTTTTTATGGTTTCTAAAATGTCTACGGTTAATTTTTATTTTTTTCTTCCGACACATATTTCTAAGCTTATAACTTTCTTATTATATGAGTTAGACAGGGTCAGTCATAGACTGTTTTGTAAAGCGTCTTTTACCACATCTTTCTATCATGAAGATAGAGGTTTAAGTATGTGTTTTAATATAACAAAATTAATTATACAAAATGAAGTCTGCATACCTAAGCCATCCTTCAAACTAATGAGGTAAAGAATTTTTTATGAGAGATTAGGCAATGGAACGACATCTAAGATCAAATGAATTGAATCTTAACTATTTTGCTCTACTCGATTTTATACTTTCTCATGACTCGTATTTTCCACATCTAGGATTCCTCTTAAGTTTTGAGAAAATTTTTTAATCCTCATTCTACTAGAATTCTTTATGGTTCGATAGCAGTCAGTATGCTGATAACAAATATCATATTTTTATTCCAAAGCATTCAGATAATAAGAAACATCTGAAGCACTCTTTGTAAGGCAGAAAAACCAGTTTTTTACCTGAACGTCCATTAATACTTGAATCAGATTCATCGAAAATAAGTTTATGTTTTAGAAATTCAAGAGATTATGTATCGATAAACGCCAAGCATCGCTCCCATTGACATGTATTGCTACAGAGCATAATTTGTCGCACTTTTATTAACCTACAGTTACTTCAAGTGAAACATGGAGTTTGTTTTTATCAAATATTTGATTCAACGTGCACTGTATCATGAAATCGTTTTCATCCTGAAATTCGATGCCTAGTACCACACTTTTGCGCTAATCACTTTCCTCGATAGTCAATTCACGTCTTTTTCTATTATTGTTCAATTCTTTTCAAGTAGAATAAACCTCTTTTGACTTCAGACGAACATCATATTCGAAATCATCAAGAAAAACTAAGTTAAGTTATACATGATTAATATTGCATCAATGAGTTTTCTTTTTTCGGTCGCATTCAGACTTTCATTTCCATCAGAGATATACAGCAAAATGGACTTCACTAAAATAACTATTCATATATCTAGATACCTTGGATTATATCTCAAAAAGACATTTTACAATTGCAAAACTATGCTTACAGTGGCCGTATTCTTTCTTTGATATTTTCCCAAGGGAAACGACGAGTAGAAATTTCAACGAAAAAGACTTCCTGAAACAATTTTAAACATGCATAAATTAACTCAGTTTTCCTTAATGATTTCGAATATATGAAAAAACACTTGACTTCACTATTAAGGCAAGTGATTAGAGCAAAAGTATTTTCTTAGACATGAACTTTCAAGCTGAAAATGACTTCATGAGAAAAACCACAATGAATCATATATTTGACTACAAAAATTTCGCTGGTGCAGTCAAAGAAACTATAATTTCATAAAACTTCAAAACTTATCCTTCAAAGCAGTATTACTCGCATGAGTCGGTTTTTAGCATTGATCGACAGAAAACGTCTTAAATATCTAAGATATTCCCATAGATTCTGGTAAAGAAAGCGCTTGTGCATCAGATGAACTCGTTTTTTGAAAATTTAATTCGAGATTTAACCGGCTTTCAGAGTGCTTCAGATATTTCTTATTAGCTAAGTACTTTGGAAGACAAATGTAATGTTTGTAATCCGCACATTTGGTGCTACTGAACTATAAAAAATTTTAGTACAACCACGATTAAATGATTTTCTCGAAACTTGAGGGAAACCTTAGTTGTACAAAAAGGAGTTGTGAGAAAGTACAAAATAAAATACAACAAAATAATTATGACTCAATTCTTTTAATCTTAGAACTCGTTCGATTGCATTATCTCTCATAGAAAAATACTATATTTTATTTTATCTTTATTTTTTTTCACGATAAATTATCCATTTATCTGTACGCGTCATTATCAAAAGTAGACATTAAGTGTTACGATTGAACTGAACGAATACTCCTTCCACAAAAATTATTGAGTATTTATTTTTAACGCTTTATCTTATAGTATTTTCGGTGATATCAAACTTCTTCGAATGGTTAAAGAATAGAGGTTTGAAAGGTTTTGATTTCTAAAATGAAAACCATAAACCAAATTGAGAATAATTACTACAGATCCTTGTGAGGTGATTATCTTTACAGTAGCTGATCTCTACTATTTATTTGGTATAAGATATTGAAACGTTTTCAACACTACAAAGCAGTCATCATGGTGAGAAAATAACAGTATACTTCGTAAATGGTACTACTTAACCACAGAAAAATTTCCTCTATGCTTATTACTAAAGAAATTTAGACAGACTACGGTTTCATGTGCACATACATTAACTTGTTGTATTCGTAGATAATATTGCTCGATCACGAAAAAAACACTACTTTCATATTGATCTTGTTCTGTTCTTAAACGAAAACATTATCGTGTGTATAAATACATAAAAAAGGTGCTTTCTTCGCGCATTCAACCATATCGCGAAAAATGATGAGAATAATATTAATACATGGCTTATTCTTTTTCGATGTGGGAATTTATTCACTATTTGCTTGCTCTCTCATGTATCGTTCGTATAGCCAAAAGGTAACTCTACACAAAATAACCAATGAGCATCGAGTATGCGCGAAATAATGA